TTCATGCCTCAAATATTTCTTGGTCATGATGTTTGGGCTTTCGGTTAGCCCCCCTCTGACTGCCTGCCTGCCTGTCTGTCTCTGACTCTTGTATCACATTTGGTTAATGAGACCCTAAAAAGTGTGGTAAACAAAGCAGCTGAAAGCCAAATCAAAGACCTGTTTATGTATGCAAGAAGTTGCTATGCTAATACAGACAGAGATTGTAAAATTGTTAACTTGGTTTTGGGTAAAATATTAAAAATAATATTAATATAAATAATATTCTTATTAAATATTTTATTAAAAACAAAGATAAGCTCTTTAAAGGTGTAATAAATAGCTTAAGAAACATTTTCAGAAATGATTTTTAAGTTGAAACAAAACTTATTTTGCCTTCTTAAAAAATAAGTTTTACAAAATTTAATTACACTTTTAGTGCTAGAAGTTTTTGTTTTGTTTTATTTAATATAAAAAATGTTTTTTTTTAGAGGTAAGGAACCTAAAGTTGGCTTTATGGTTCAAGAAGGCCATCGATTTAACAGCTGTTAAGTGATTTTTTCTCAGTTTGATTTGGCAATTCATCAAGAACAGACTCACGCCTGAACAAGGCTTGCAAATAGTGCAATTTTATTTCAAAAATAATAGTTCTGTGTGGAATACGTACCGCGTACTACGTCCATTTTATTGTCCACAAAATCGTTCATCAGAACAAGTAATTCGATTAATCATAGAACGTTTTCGCTTCACGTTCACGCTTCTTATTGATAACTTTCTGTAGAGCTCTGTCAAGTCATTATTCTATATGGATAAGCCACAAACTCTTGACCATTTGAAAGACAACATTCGCCGTGTTATTACCAATATACCAGAAATGTTAGAAAAAGCCAAAGAAAATTGTACTACATCCAAGCCAGCCGTGGCGGTCATATGCCAGAAATCATATTTAAAATGTAATGCCATAAGATTATCTTTCGAGTTAAGCTTTTTTCAATGATTTTTAAACAATCTTCTACCTCTTAAACATTAATAATGTTGTAGATCATCTAGTTTGTCCCTTGCTATGATTTTTAAGTCATTTTGTATACCTTTAGCCTATTTAGCATTTATCCTTTTATCTATCATAAAGTTTTTACCTTTTTTCCCAATGATTTTTAAACAGTTTTCTAACTCTTATATCTGCCTAAAAAGCTAAAAGTTTTCTTTTTTATTTAACAAATAAACATCAAAAAGGTTAAACAGCATAAAGTTAAGATTTTTCAATGATTTTGAAACAATCTTCTACCTCTTAGTTTTGCTTTAAGCTAAAGGTTTTTTCTAAAAATTAACATTAAAAATGTTGCAGATCATAAAGTTTATTCCTTGCTTTGCTTGTTGAATAATTTTCAACATATTGGTGGCTAGCTAATGCTAAAATTTATCCTTTTTATTTTACAAATAAAAATTAGAAAGGTTTAACAACATAAAGTTAAGTTTTTTCCATGATTTTTAAACCATCTTTTACCTCTTAGTTTTAAAGATTTTTAAGGCTTTAAGATTTAAAGGTTTTTCGTTTTATTTAATATTATGAAGATTAATAATGTTGCAGATCTTAAAGTTGATCTTTTGTGATGATTTTTAAGCAATCTTTTCAATCTGCCTAAAGCTAAAGGTTTCTGGTTTTATTTTCTAGAAAATAAACTTTAATAATGTTGCAGGATTTTTCAGTAATTTTGTGTACCTTTAGTATACTGCCTATCATTAAAGTTTTTCGCTTGCAATGATTTTTAAACAATTTTCTAGCTCTTAGTTCTGCCAAAACAGCAAAAAGTTTTCCTTTTTATTTAACAAATAAACATCAGAAAGGTTTAACAGCATAAAGTTAAGATGATTTTTAAACAATCTCCTTTAGTTTTGCCTTAAGCTAAAGGTTTTTGGTTTTATTTTCTAAAAATAAACATTAAAACTATGATTTTTGATTAGTTTTGTATACCTTTTTAGTACTGCCTATTATAAAGTTTATTCCTTGCTTTGATTTTTTATTAATTTTCAAACTATTAGTGGCTTTCTAATGCTAAAACTTTTCCTTTTTAATTTTTCATTTTTATTTATTTATCAGAAAGGTTCACCAGCATAAAGTTAAGCTATTTCAATGATTTATAAGTAAAAATATAAACACCTTTTTATAACGAAAAATAAAATAAATTACATCTTATTTCTTTCATCGAAAGTTTAAGTCACTTTTCCATGTTTTTAAATATAACAAACGAAAACAGTAAACAAGCCATTAGAAGCTGTTTAAAGGCAGTTAATTTCCCCAGAAACCATAAGTCTAAACTATTCGATTCCCAGACTTATATTATCTTACTTCTTACCCAGAAGCAATCCTATATCTTTACCTCTGGCAACTTGGCCAACTTCTCGTACAATTCCATTTCTAAAGAGGCCTTATTACTCCATCGATATGGAGATACCTCGTATCTGATAGGCAATTTATGCAGCTGGCAAGAAGTTAAATAAACAAAGAAAAATAACAAAGAAAAACAACTTCAAGACAAAAACGCTCATTTTGTATGCATTTAAAGCCATTGAAAAGTGTGAATCGAAGGGGGGGCTAACCAAGGGGGACGGTTGGGCAGGCAGGTGAATCGCTGGCAGATCGTTGACTTGTATTTCTTTCACGCTTCTCATTTTGATAGCCAGCGATTTTTGTTGGATTTTGAAATGTCGCCAACGAAATGCATCAAAAACAAACTTCTGGCTTCGTCAGATACATAATATATATATATATATATATATATAATATAACACGCGTATCTGGTATCTTGTATCTCTGGTATCTGAAATTCAATTTGCAATTCAACTTCCGTCAACTGGCCGAGGAATTTTGTGGGTTTTTTTTTAAGCCAGTTCAGCATATAAAATGTATGAGAGGTACAAGTTAAGCGGACAGATGGAATGAAATGGTTATGTAAATGCAGAAATTGAAATGAAAATGTAATTAATGAGCATAGAAATGCGGAAAATTGTGGAAAAATACGTGAAACGAGTTTTCTGCTGCTGTTTTCTGCTTTTCAGTTTCTCGAATCAACATTATCTTCATCGCCGTTCCTGAAATGAAATGCGTAGCGCGGTGCCAGCCATGGACATTGTCAAACAAACTTCGAGTTTAATGTTTGGACAGGGGCAGAGCAATTGCTTCGTGCACGGATTTTAATTAAAAACGTATAAATGTATCTTGCAGATATGTACATTCACTTTTAGACAGTCGCGTAGTTTACTCGTATCTTTTTTTTATTTCTTCTTCTTTTTGATACATTTAATACTCCATGTCTGGGGTCGTTTTTTTGGCGTTTTTTTTTTTGGCTTTCAGTTTGTAGGTTGAGGAGTTTGCAGGCCAACTGAGTCATGATTTTTGGGCTAGGGAATGTCCCTGAAATCGTATCTAGGAAGTTGTTTACTTTTTTCGAGGAAATTTATGGGATTTTTTATGTCTTGGGGTGTGGAGAAAAAGGGGAATTTTATAAGTTATTTTCTTAGTTCCTCAATTTAAAATCATAAATACTTAAGAAAAATCATTAAAAAATAAGTATTTGTAGTTCTTGAATTTGAAATCATAAAAATTTAAGAAAAATCATTAAAAATTAAGTTGGAAGTGTTGTAGTAATTAATAAATTACAAATGGCATTAATAATATTAGTTTGTCAAAAAAGTCTTGCGGTATTTTCGCTAGTTGGTGCTGAAAACGCGTAGTTCTTGTTTTATTCGTTGCATCAGGTCATACTTTACCTTTTTGGAAAGCTAATTTCATGCGCTTTGATTGATTGTCTTTTCTTTTAAGTCAAGTTATAGCGTCGCAATCATGGAGCAAAATAAAGAGAAAATACGGCATAGTAGTACTACTACAATAAAGGCAATAATACATCTGAAGCCGCCAATAAAATTTGTGCAGTTTATGGACCCGATACAGTTTCCATTTCCACCACACAACGATGGTACAACCTTTTCGTTCTGGTGTAGAGGTGGTCGAAGATGCGCCACGCTCCGAGTTTTTTCCCAATAGGGAAGCGAGCTTCTAAGAGAGGAGCATTATGAAGTTGGCATCTCGTTGGGAACGCGTCATCGAACAAAACGGCGCATATTTGACTTGAATCATCGGCATTATTGTAACCAATTTTATACCGCAAGACTTTTTTGACAACCTAAAAAATATTTTTATAATATTTTTTTATTTTTGCAATATATTAATCAATATTAATAACAACTTTTTAAATATTTTTAGAACATTTTTGAAGAAAATTTCTATTTTAATTTTTTAGTTCTTTAATTTAAAATCATAAATATTTAAGAAAAATCATTAAAAATTAACCAGAAAATGTTATTTGATTTAATACATAATAAATTACATTAAAAAGTTTAATAGGTATATTTTTTTTAGATTTTTTTATGTAATTTTAAATAAAAATAACAACTTTTTGCATATTTTTATAACATTTTTAAAGGAAATTTCTATTCAAAATTAGTTAAATGAGACATTTAAAATTAAATATTTTTTTCTAACATATTTTAAGGCAGCTAAAATGCATATTTTTTAATAATTAAAAATAAGTTAAAACTGACAAAAAATGGTTGAAATTTCATAGATTTTTCTCAATTTAAAAAGCAGAAAAGTTTAAAAAATATCAAAAAAAAAGTTAAACATTTTTGCTCTTTGCCATATTTTGTTATTTTAACTTTTTAACATTTAATTAGTTTTTTTTTATGATTTAGTTTTTAACAAACTTAAAATAAATAAATATTTAATATATTTCCCAGCTGCCCTGCCAATTACCTACCCATTATTAATCTCACACCCACTTCCCCCCCAATCTCCAACTCCATTTCATTTTCACATCTCATTTTATATCAATTTTTTTACCCCTCTCGCCTGAACCTGAAAGCGAAGTGATCAATCCCCTGGACTGAAACGCCTTCTCTAGAGCCCACTTTCAGCCATGCCCACTAAAAATCCATAACTCTTTTCCAAATCTCTCTGCCCACAGGGAAAGGAAATCCCAGAGACCCCCTACGCCCGTGGAGATCCAACGACTGGCACCTGTCGTTAATTAAATGTCAACAGTTTGGCAGCAAGGCAAGGAGGTGGCAGGAGTCCAAAGAGCCAAATGAATGGGAAACGGAACTGGGAAGATAGAGCAAAAAAGAGAGAGAAGAAGAAGAGTGAGATAAAACCAGTAATAAGCCAAACGAAATTGTTCAGAATGTTTGCCGACCGACTGTCAGATAAATCATAAGAAACAGCAAACAGCCAAACAGAAAAGCTACAGAAGGAGAACCCCACAACCCCAACTCTGAATAAACGAAAGAAATCTGGGCAGGAATTATATTAAATATATATATAAAAAGATCAGAGATATATATATATTTGAGAAAAAATGGTTAATGCGGTGATGGATGCCATAGCGGTAAGTGATCTTTAAGCTTGTTTAATTTAATTTGCAATATTATACAGAATCATTTGGGATACTCTCTCGGTTTCTCTCGGTTTTTTTTATGATGGCTAAATTGAAATTGCCAGCCGGCTGAAGACTGAAATTGAATTGGACCTCTGTCAATTCCCCCCGCCGCCAGCCAATTGAAGTTTTGTTTGTACTTCAAATAAGACACTCACTCTGCGGTTCAGTCGCGTCGAGTTGAGTTGAGTTTTGTTGTATTTCCTTTTTTTTTTTTGCCCACATTTTCAATTTGAATTTGTTGGCTGTGGCAATTGCTCAATTGGCTGGCTTGTCTATGTCTTTGTCTCAATCCCTGTGTGTCTGTGGGGGTGTGCTTGTGTGCGAATGTGCCATATTACATGCTAATCCCATATGTTTGAGTTGATTTCTAGTTTTGTTGCTGGCAAATTGAGGAGTGCAAAGAGGCGTATACGTAATACGTAACTAAAAATTTAAAAAAAAAAAAACAATAGAAAAACAAGGATAAAGAAGTCTTTAAGTGGGCTGAAAAGAGTGTTAAAATGGTTTTAGGTTTCGGAATTAATAGTTTAACCAAGAAATAAGCTTAAAAGGAGGTTTTTTAGGAGAAAGCTAAAAAATATTAAGAAAAGTCTTTAAAAATTAGATAAGCATGGCCAGGATCTTCTTTAATTCGTATAAAATATATATAAAGTCATGTTATTTATGAAACGCAGCTTATTTAGCCTTATAACCATGCCTTTTCAGCTGCTTCACATCAACAATTCATTTCACTCTTTGGCCAGCATTTGCATACAAACTTCGCCAACTTCTGCATGCCTTTGAGGCCACAACAAAAACTCTCAGGAAAATAACAAAAATAAAATCCAAAAAAAATCACAAAAAATCAAAAAACTTAAAAAAAAACCATAGAAATATTTATAAATACCGAAATACAAAAAAAAAGAAGAAAAAAAGACAGAAAAAACAGAAACAGAAGTGGAGATCAAATTAGCACAGAGCGTGGGAGCCGGTTTGGTTTTTGGTTTTTGGTTGACGTTGCCGTTGCCATTTCCTTGCTGCTTTTTGGCACTCGGGACATGGTTAACGTTAACCATGTTGCATATGGTTGTTAGTGGGGGAAGGGGGGAAGCGGTAGACAGTGCAGAACTTGTGGCAAATCGACGGGACACCGCCGAAAAAAAAAAAAACCCGTTATTATTGCATTAGCCGAGACAGTGGCGCGTAATTATTATTGGAGATCGACATACAAGTACGGCCTCGCCGCAGACCGCCGGAAGTTAAGACCAGTTGGACAGGTACCCAGGCAGACCTCCCCTTCCCTTCCCTACCCCAACTACTCCAGACAGTTCCCTCCCCTTAGCTTAAAACTGCAACTCCAACTCCAGTTTCCAAGCCCAGACCAGCCCAGCCCACTGTTTGTGTTTTCGAAAATTCCTCACGGACCCAATTCCGAAGGCTAAGTCCAAGTGGCACCGATTGTAGCACTAAGAAAAAAAGTTAGCCATATTGTTTAGTGAAAAATCGTATATCATAAAGTCTAGATAGTTAGTATATATAGTAGTTAAACTTACTATTATAAGAGTAGCCCATAGCTTGATGACTTTTTACCGCTTTGAGAGCTGATCAGCGGTTATCTTAGGCCAGAATATTGACAGTTTTACTTGAAGCTTGTCTTGGCAAATTAATTAATTAACTCAATTCAAATCACAGTAATTATTTTTTAAGTCAAACGTTGCGGGTTTTTATGGTTTTTCTTAACAGCAAGACAGGTTTTTAGGCCATATCTCAACGGAAAAGGTGTGATTATATAGCTTGGTCATAGGAAACTGAAGAGGAAGTGTTTTTTTGCTTTTAATTATACAAAAATCAGTAATTTTTTCTTGTGGTAATTAAAGAAAAAAGTGTTGAAATAACATACTTTAAAGCTTTTACCTTTGAAAAAGAAAATTTTGTATAAAATTTGTTGTGATTTTCAAGTTGGAAATAACTTAATTTAGAATTTAAGTCATTAATGTCCACTACCAAGTGCTTTCTGCTCATGAAAAGCTCTTAAATGATCTTTAACTGTTGGTCAATTTAGCATTGATTGTGTATATTGGGGGTGGGGGGGATGGAAGGTTTGCCTTTGTCCATTAGGTTGTATTTTGATTTCTCGTGGCTTGCCTGTTGAACGAACTCCATGTTAACCCCAAAAACCGTTTGCCGTATCATTGCAGCTGCTCAGCACGCTGGCCAGTGATTTGGACATAATGCTAAATGATCTTCGTTCGGCGCCGAGTCATCCAGCAACATCAACAACTGCAACAGCAACAGCAACAGCAACAGCAGCAATAACAAATCAACAGCAACATCTACAACAGCAACATCATCATCTTCATAATCAGCAGCAAATGCAATCAAGGCAATTGCAGGCACATCATTGGCAGAGTTTTAACAACAACAAGAATAACTTCAGTAATAACAACAATAATAACAACAATAATAATAACAACAATAACAACAACAACAACAACAACAACAATAATAATATAAATAATAATAACAATTTGCCTCACCCACCTTGCCTGATCGACATCAAACTGAAATCACTTCGAACGGCAGCAACCACATTTACCGCAACAACAACAACAAAAGCTGCTGCAACAACAACAACATCCAATCAGCTGCAACAACAACAACGACGTCGGTTGGCCCCCAAACCATTGCCACGCCCACCGCGACGTACCCGCCCCCTAGCACAAAAAGAGCCATGCGCCGGCGATGAGGAAGATGGTGATACGGATGCCAGTGACCTGGCCAATATGACATCACCGCTAAGCGCCAGTGCAGCGGCCACTCGGATCAACGGTCTGTCGCCGGAAGTGAAAAAGGTCCAAAGGCTGCCATTGTGGAATGTTCGCCATGGCGGCCATGGCGGAAATGCCGCCACCCACTGCCACCCATCAAGTGCCGCAGCGGTGCAGCGAAGGTTGCCCAGCCAAGGCCATCAGCAGCAGCAGCCGCAGCAGCGAATTGTGACCCAGCGATTTCATCATCATCATCATCGAACGCAGCACGGGTGAGTCTCTAACAGAGATTAAATATGATTTATTAATATTTTTATGTATATTTTTTTAAAATATTTTTTAAGTAAATTTAAAGTTTGGTTAAAATTTATTCTCAAAAAGTCATTTATGAGAATATTAAAAATGAAATTTTTGTTTCGAGGGAAGGTTAATAGGTTAATATTTGTTCTTTACAGTCTAGGAGTGAAAAGCGAATCGATAAAACTATCGATAGTTTCGATATTGCTCAAAATTAGCTAGCTTAGTCTAGGAAAATTAATCTTTCTAATTGCAAATTGTTGGATCCAAAAATCCAAAAATATTTAAATTTAAACTTTATAAAGAACAACTTTATAAAACTTTCCATGAAAATGAAGTTTTAAGTTGCCTTTTTCTGTAATGCTAAGCAAAAATATCGATTTTAGTTATCGTTGCTTGCCATTGTCGTCCACTTTATAAGTAAGCAGACTTAGAAATATAAAAAATAGATGCCAAAAACATATTCTTCAGTTTGCAAAAAAATATATTTTAAAAGTAAAAAATTACTTAAAAAAGTTTGAAAGTGAAAAACGAAACTGAAAAAGGGAAGTTTTCGTAAATGATTTTCATTAAAAAAATACAAATTCTCTTAGTTCTTATTTAATAAACATAAACTTAACATTTCTCTTTCATAAAAATATTAAAAAAACAAGAGGAAACGCTATAGTCGAGTGCCGCGACTATAAGATACCCGTTACTGTTTTACAAAATTTTAAAATATTATTTTCCTAGTGGTAATTCACAAGGCGCCACCTATTGTCAGAGGAAGTATGTTGAGTATGCTTATAGTGACGTCACTGCCCATGTGAGGCCTTATAACCTTAATTTCTTCATAAATAGCGAAATAATGTTCCGATTTGAAAAATCTTTGGTAAATCGATAGATATTAACAGAAATAAGTTATACAAGGTCAAACAAAGGCATTCATACTAATATTATAGACGCCACAGTTTTCCGCGGTTTGTGGGCGTTAGAGTGGGCGTGGCCAAATGCATCTTCGTGGCAAGTTGCAGAAGCATCTCCTAAATATGTGTTTCTAAGCAAAATTGTCTAGCTCTTATAGTTTTCGAGAGTTTTGCATTTTTGGTTTTTCGGGTTTTGTGGGCGTTAGAGTGAGCGTGGCTTGATCGGAAAAAAATAAATCGCATTGGGAGCATCATAGAAACCTACATGCTTAATCCGAACTTTTTATCTCTTATAGTTACCGAGATATCAGCTTTTCTAGAAAATCCGTAAACCGTCTTTTGAGCCTTGTGGGCGTATGGGTGGGTGCGGCCGGATAGTAGTACTACTATAAGATGCGCTGTCATCTAAGGATTATACTTTCTGATTTTCAACTTTCTAACTGCAATAGTTCCTGAGATTTCAGCAATTTTAGTTTTTTGCGATTTGTGGGCGTTAGAGTGGGCGTGGCAGGATGCTGTAATAAACTTGCGCTGTCCCGGGACCTCAGGAATCTTTATGCTTAATCTCAACTTTGTATCTGCTATAGTTCCTGAGATCTCAGCGTTCATACGGACGGACGGACGGACGGACGGACGGACGGACGGACGGACGGACGGACGGACGGACGGACGGACGGACGGACGGACGGACAGACGGACATGGCCCAATCGACTTCGCTATTGATCCTGATCAAGAATATATATACTTTATAGGGTCGCAAAAGCTTCCTTCTATCTGTTACATACTTTTCAACGAATCTAGTATACCCTTTTACTCTACGAGTAACGGGTATAATTAAGAAACAAGAATAGAAAAGGAAAACTCTGACCTCTAATGCCCCATCTAAGCGAAAGTGTTGCAGATTTTGGGTAAAAAAAAAGAAAAACAACATTAAAAGTGGCAATGGTAGCCTTGCCTTTGGCTGTTGTTCTTCTTGGCCATAAGGAAGGAAGTCTTTGTTGTTCTCGGAACAGGCCAACTGACCAGACTTAAGGGGAATATTTAGATGATGGAGGCCTTGGAGGCCTTGAGGGCCTTGGAATCATTGGGACGCCTCCGAAGGGTTAGCCAAGTTGGCAATGGGCTGTGAAAGGTTCATGCTCCGTTGAGCGCTTCATGGGAATCGGTGGCATGCTTCGTTGGCAACGAAAAGAGCTAGGTAATGGGTTAAGCCAGGTCAGTTTAGCCAGCGGGTGGGTATGACAGCTGAATCATCAACACGTCACGGTCACCAGTTGAATGGCTAAACTAGAGCTGGCCAAAAGAATTGAAGATCCCCTTTTTGACCAACAATGGTTAAAGTTAAAGAAATGCAAATTCTGAAAAGAAAAGGGGTTAAATTTTTGGTTATTAATCATGGAAAGACTGGGGGATCTATTTAGACTAAAAAACAGTATTGTTTTACCATTTAAAAAGTAGAAGAAAATTATCTCACATTTAATTAAGTTTAATATATGTTAAGAATAATGGAATATGAGTAACTATCATTAACCATCTTCCCAGTTCCCAGTGTAAATTCCTAAGATCTCTTGCCTATTTGGTGACAACTTGACGAGGGTGCAGATCGAGGGACTCTGACACCAGTCACATTGTAAGCCAAGCCATGAAAACCTCAGCCTTAACCTTTTCATTAGCCCCGCAGGCCCAGAAGCCACTTCTCCGTTCAAAAGCCAAGCAAGCCAAGCCGCTGACAGTTTCTTGCTTGTAACAGACGAACTAACCAGACACAAACTTCTATGTCTATCGATATTTTTGGTAATCCCCATGTAAGAGCAATATGTTTAGCATATAAATTATGAGGCCTGTCGTCCAGCCACAGCTTCAACTTCAAAAAAAACCCACCCAGAAAAGCCTCCACATTCTCGACCTTCTCGTGGCTAGTAAGTAATAGGCATGGGCGTTGCAAGAATTCCGCTTAAGAAAAAAGAAATAAAAAAAAAAAGTAGAGAAAGGAAAACGAGGGTCTGCAAATGAAGTGTTATATTTTATGTGGCAATCCGCAATGTTGGCGATGACAAAAACCAAAGACAAATACAAGGCACCATAAACTTGAGTAAATATGAATATGTCTAACCGAATGGGTGGTTGGTTGGTTAGCAGAAGGACTTTCTTTTTCGAGGGGTAAGAGAAGAGAAAAGAGAGGGTTGGGTAAAGCAATGGGGTTTTTCCATGGCGCTCTGTTGCTTTGTTGACAGGCGGAAGAACCATTTCATTTTATTCCATCCCTTCCTGCCAACTCCTCTCCAACCTCCAACCTCCAATCTAACTGGTACAAAGGGTTGTGACTTTTGTGTGTTTAGCTATTTATTAAATTTGTTTGCCAACACACACAATATGTGTGCTGCGGGTGGGGGGTTGGGGGTGTGTTAGCTTAGCTGTTTTTGGCCAAGGGTGAGGCCAAAAAGGACCCACACCGAACATGAGCTGCGTAACTAATTTGCTTAAAGTGCACGATGCCTCATCAACATCAGTTACCAGGGACAGTGGTACTAGATAGTATGAAATGTGAAGCTAAAAGTGAACTTGAAAATGTAAAAAGAAGTTTTGAAAGGCAAATGAAAATGAAAAATATTTTATTAATACAAGAATTTTCAAGTTTTACTTAATAAAAAGCTTAAAAAAATGAATTAAAAGTTTTTTAGTTAAAATTTTTAGTGTTAAAATTTAAAAATTGTTTTTTAAAAACCGCTTTTTAGTTACAGATATTAACCTATATTCAAAATTCTTTAAAACAAATTCTTATTTTATTAACAACAACCGCTTTTTTCTTTACTTTTTTTCATTAACTTTTCTATTAACTTCATTCCACTGTCCCTCGCTGAACCGCAGAAACTTTCCGTTTGGCTTCCCAAGTGTTTTGTGGTCTTTATCCCCAACCCTGCACTTTGACTCCGAGAATTGATGATGTCTAGGACCGTCTATATATTCCAAGAGAGTATCTCTCTGGCCCCGCCATCATGGCCATCAGCAGCATCATTGCCATCCTCCTCATCATCATCATCATCATCGTTGACTTGATGATTGTCAAAAGTTTTTTTTGTGCAATTTGAGCGTTTTAAGTTTGTCGCTGTCAACGATGCGTATGCGTGTTGTCCATAGTAGACAGAATGGCTTCAAGTGCGACAGGTGTTTGCTTTATTAGAAGGTGAGACATCCCCGAAAAAGCGTCTTCAAGTAAAGGCTATAATGCGGCTGACATGTAAACAGATTAACATAATTAATTTATTTGCTTCTTGCTTATGGCTGTCACCGCCTAAGCCAGAGTGTCTTGTACTCTTTCCAAGGGGTATTTTGGGTATTTATGGGAAGGAAAGAGAGGAAAGGCAGAAATTATAGTTTGGAGAGATTTTAAACTAGAAAAGGCTGTAGTTTTGGGTGAGTTGGTTGGTTTTTAATACAGATTTTGACTGTTTTAACTTCGTTTTGGGGATATGCTAGATATTAAAGAGATTTTTGAGATATTTATGAGCAAATTTTTTAGCAGTTCTTGAAGAGTTTTAATGAGATAATGTAGTTAAAAAACAGTTTAGTAACCTGTTCACTTTTTTCTTGACTTTATCATGTGGTCATGTACAGGGTGGCCCATGTAGCGTTTGCTTTTTGAACTATCCATAATTTTGACTTTTACATTTCGAATGTCATTGTCAATGTGTCAGATATTTAGTAGAAGGTTTGCAGTTTACAAAATGATAAAGTTTACGCTCGAACTGGAAAATATTTATATTTTTATAGCGATTTTAAAACGCAAATATTCCGTGGGCCACCCTAGAATAGTATAAAAACACACTTCTAGCTAGCTTTTGGCTTTTTTTGTATTTTTACTTTATTCTCACATTCGAAATCGGAGTTCAAGTCAAAATACCAAGTCTCTTTTAAGTCCTTGTTCATTCCTCTTTTCCCCTGTTCGTGAGCGAGATGGTTGGACTTACAAAACGATCTCCTAAAGCTAACTTACATGATAGAAAGAGATAACAGTATGAGGATAATATTTACGGTTAAGTTGTTGCTCGAGTTGTTTGAACTTACAGTGGGTC